AATGGTATTATTGCAGTGTCTACAGTTCTGTGGCTCACTTTAAGGATAGGGTTTTCAAAAATTTCTGAGTCAGTTAGGAACACAAATGCAAAAGAAAATCAGTGCTGCCTTTATTCCAAAATCTTGCAGGTACTTTTGAAAAATCAATCTTAACTCTTTGTAGCACACACAGATTATTACTATTCTTAATCTCCATAAACTTTATTTGCTGTATGGGCAAATAAAATGCTGTTCTTACTCTGTATTGCTTGTAGTCTATTTAGGTAAAACATGATGAATTATACTAGAAAACATTATGGGGTAAAGAGAAGGGAAGGATGTGAAGGTGATTTTACCAACTTTTGTAACTATTGCAAATAGGGCTGGATTCAGGCAATCTCAGGACTTGGATACCATGTTGTAGTGCACCTCCTGTAGCTCTACCCCGAGTTTCCCTCTTAGCATAGCACAGCCAAAACATTCCCTGCCTCCTAGAGTGGTAACATCCAGGAGTAGCAGTTCATGCTCTTGGAAGCAGCAGCGGCAGCAAAAAGGGCCTGGTATTCCTGCTTGAGTTCAGGGGTGGCAGTAGGAGGGGCCCTTAGTCCTTACCCCAGCTGTTGGAATGTACCTGCATGGCTGGAGCAGGTCCATTGCATCTTCTCCTGCCACACACACAGTCTTCTGGTGTGTTGTTAGTGTTAGGATCTCCCAGCAGGTGTTGGAATTAACAACCTGTTGAAATGTGTGGGGCACCTCTTTCCTAACTGTCATTTCCAGCTCCCCACATGTTGAGACTGACATCACTGAATGGCATATATTTTTGGTTACTTTTTTCAAAAAAATTTTTCACAGCCATGAGGGCTGGAAACCTTTCTTTTCAGTGAAGACTGAGAGTCTGCAGTAATTATATGGCTTGAGAACTTCAGAGCCTAGGCATGACACTAGGGTGACTTATTCTGTTTCTAATTGTGAATCTTCAGAGGTTTTATACAGGGAGGAGTGAGTGTGTGTGTGTGTGTGGGAGGGAGGGGGTTATTATTGCTTTTTAAAAAGTCTCTCATGCCATCTGATAATCCTGACTTCAGAACTTGTGAAATTTCCCTATTTCAAAATGGCCTCAATTTTCCTATCACTTTTAGCATGGCTGAAGTCAATATGCCCTCAGCTAAGATGGTCACTGTACATGCAGGCTACGTCTACACTGGCCCCTTTTTCGAAAGGGGCATGCTAATTTTAAACTTCGGAATAGGGAAATCTGCGGGGGATTTAAATATCCCCCGCGGGATTTAAATAAAGATGTCCGCCGCTTTTTTCCGGCTTGGGGAAAAGCCGGAAAAAAGCGTCTAGACTGGCCTGATCCTCCGGAATAAAGCCCTATTCCGGAGGATCTCTTATTCGGTCTTAAAACAATCTTTTTGAGCTGAAGAGATGTTATTGAATAATTAAAACATAGCATTTGCTTGCAAGCCTCAGCCCAACTCCAGCACAGAGAAATCACCTTAGTCCCAAGTCACAAAGCTAATAGAGAGTTGCAATGTAATTGCAGAAGGAAAACATTTGATAGAGAGGTAAGGAAGTATGAAAAGAAGTTTGCAGAGAAAACAAATAATATGCCACAGTCAACAGAATGGCTTAATCTCTAGGGAATATGCAAAGTTTACATGAAACTAAAATCACAAAAAGTCACAGCATTCCCAGTTGAAAAAAAAATAGATTTGCTGGAAAACATGGGTCAGGTTTCAAAACCAAGCAGAAGAAACAAACTAGTGAAACATCTGTATTATTCTTATGTGCAATGAATAGTTGAAGATTAACGATATGCTTGCTAAGACCACATTTTTTTTCTGTTTGACTATATATTTATATCCATCATCTCTCTTTCTTGTGTGTTAGGTACAGAAAGAACTGGCTGCTGTCATTGCTCTGAAAGCAAGAAAGTCAGGTAAGTACAGACAATTGTGCCTTATTGGGACTTTTATAATATCATTGTCCTCCGTTATTTACTAAAGTATTTAATTCTTCATTGTAGACTTACTACAATTTAAGTTGAACAGTAAAAGTTCTGTTATCTGGCACTCAATTAACCTGAATTCTCAATTAACTGCCATTTCTGATATTTCCCAATACAAATTTTCAGTCTAGTAGCCGGGATCCATATACTGTCCAGTACACTGTGCAGTTACATATTCTGCTTTTATGCAAAAGGGACAGAAGACAAGGAAGTGAGCTGAAATCAGGGATTTTTATATACAAAATATGCAGCTTCCAGGGTGCAAATCCATCCCTAGGGTGGCGCGGGGACCAGGACAGCCCTCTGACTGTCCCAGGCCATGCCCCATCTCTTTCCATCCTGCTTATCTGCCTCCCCATTCCATTCTACCCCTTCCATCTAGGGTTGCCAGATGGTTGAAACAAAAATACCGAACCCCTCCCCCCCCCCCCAAAAAA